TCTTTGAAAGGGGCTGAATGGACTTTTTGATATATTGGAAATGTATTATTTTGTGATCCGGGTAGTGGTTTCAAAGGTGCATTAACTTTGTAATAATCTACTGAAATGTGCACTTATGTTTTGTGCACCTTTCTACATATTTAAAAAATATGTAAGTTTTTAGTTTGTACTTTAAGATTGACCATGATTATTTCCCAATGTGTTACTCCAACCTCACCCTCAGGTTGCCTCACTAAATATTTTATTCCAACTATGTTACTTTATTCACGCATCTCAAACAAGGTTATATTATTTTTTAACCCTGTTATTTTGCTTATGCTCTTTCTCACTAAAAGTCATCATCTATGTCTCTTCATATCAAAATCCTAACCATTTTTCAAAACTCAACTATACCTCTCTTATGTAGCCTTCCTTCATTTCAGCAAGTGTTCATTATTCATCCTCTGAGTTGCAATGATCATTTGAACTTCTCTCATCAACTTGATTTTAATTACCCCTGAATTTAAAATAAGTTTATTTGTTTTATTATCTAACAGGTGTACAAATTATTGGAGGGCTGGGAACTGTATATTACATATCTTGAAATTCCTTTCCTTACTTCATATATTAGCAGTACATGGTGCTCAGTGGCTAACTGGATGAGTGTGTGAATAAATGAAAAAGCAAATAAGCCACTGAGTCAATTCTTTATAAAACATCTATAATCACTATACACCTCCGAGGGGCCCTTGGATCAAGTTTCATCCCAGTCCAAAAGTAAGGGTTGGTAAGTCCTCCAGTGTCCTCTTGGTTCTGGCCAATAAATCAGTAGATGAATGGTGGAAAGTTATATAATATCTTGTATCTTACTACACCCCAAAAGTGAGAGAGAAACAGACTGAAAGCCCAGAATTAGTAAATATACTACCTGTCCAAGACAACGTTGTGAAATAAGAAGTTGTTTCTTCTCTACCTTTCCTCCAAGGATCATGCATTTGTCCACTCCCACCTCCACACTGTCTTTCTCCTCTTCCTCCTTTATTTTCAGAGGTCAATAGTGACATCTGTGATCGCTGTATTAGAGTTATCTAAAGAAACGGAGCCAATAGGATATGTGTATGCAAATTTCCATGTCAAGAGCAAAGCAAGAAGGTTATTGCAGGATCTACTCTGCAAGGTTGTCAAAGGCCTATGTTCTTGGCACATGACTGAGGCAAAGCTCCACCAGATGTCCTTATACTCACACTACTGGCTTAAGGGATGGCAGGCAGCCCGATACCTTTTTCCTGAAATGTCCCTCCAGTATCCTCTGCTGAGAAAGATTAACATAGGCCTCACTTTAAAGGAGAAATACTAAAAGGAATTGTCTGTTATCATAGAATATATATTGAAGGGTGAATTTGGATTGAAGAGGCAATAACTTGATAACTGGCATCCGGATATGAGTATCATTTATGAGAGCCAATAAATTCTCTTTTGGTTTTAGATATTTTCAGCTGGATTTTCTGAATATTGTACTGAAAGACTGTTAACTGACAAAAGGCCGAGTCCTCATACCACCTAGAGCAAAGAAGAGTTTTTCATTGAATATTGTATGCTCTTCTGAGTCTTTCTGCCACTGTTTTCCCTCAAAACCTTTCTACTCTGGTCCCATTTTTTTTTTTTTAGTTAAAATTTGACTTATTGTCTTTGATATATATGTTAACAGCCTGTCAACAACATATGTTCATTTTAATAATACAATTCTAAGAAATAAAGGTTTTAAAACAGAAGAATGATAGAGTTAGGTATCTTAAAAAGTTGATAGAATATCTTAGGACAATCTGCACTTTGGTTTCCCTCAAATAATTAATCTATAATATATAATAATAAAATAGAATTAGAATTTTTAATTCAATTACGATTGCTCTCAAATTTGCCTGATAATACTAGAATTTCACCTTGACAACAAAACCCAAAAAGAAAGCATTATTCTCAGTATCAATTAAAAGTACCTACGTAAGCAACTTTAATAGGGTTTACATGGGCTATTTAAGTTAAAAGTGAGATATCTAATGCAAAAGACAATTGCTTTCTGTGTTATTTTTGAAAACGGAAGTGTCAGAAAGTAGAGGAGTTAAGAATAATAAAAACTGTACACAATGGTAAAAAATGTGTTAGTGGCTAAAATAATTACTCTATGAAGTAGACTCCCAAAGAATATATAAAAGGTCCCAATTAAACAACATTGCTTCTTTGAAAAGTTTCATTTTAAGATTTAGGTTAACATATATCTTTTTTTTCTTGGTTTCAGCAATTTCTTCTAACTGCCTCAGTAGTCTTGTCTTCCTCAGGTTTTATAACCACAAAGTTTATTATTAAAAAGTTTTAGTTCACATCAAATACTTTCTGTGCTATTTGGGAAAAGTATCTAGGGGAAAATTCAAGTAAGAAGAGTAAACCCAATTTAACAGAAAACATGAAAAATTGTTGATGAAGGGCTTTCTGTTTGTGTGTGCTCAACCCAAAGGAAGCATTGGACTGGCTCTGGGAGTGGGAGGCAGCGTGAAAAGATGCAGTATCTCCTCCTCTGCCTGCTTGTGTTGGATAAATGGATCATTTAATTGTCAGTTTGGCTGAGACTGAACATCAACATTATACAGGAAAGTCCCAAAGGTATGCAGCAGAGGGGATGCTATACCAGTTTCCTTCACTTGATGCTATTAAATGAGCTCACAGTCTGTAAGATAAAAGCTGGATACATTGAAGGCCAATAAGTACCTAGTTTTATAGCAGTGCTTTATGTTCAAACTCCTCACGAGTTTATCCATGTTTCTATGAAAAGATTGCATCTAAAACAATGCTCTTAACAAAGGAAATTTACAAGAGAAAAAATCCCTGTGAATTGCTATATTGATTAGTGTTTTTTTCTTTCAATAACAGTAGTACAATAGTCAGTTACAATGTCTGAACATTCTAAGCCCTAACAATAGATATTACATTTTATTTAAAATTTCATAAATACATTCTATGCTCATTTAGAAATTTTTTCCTTTGTTACACATAAAGAACATTCAACCATTCTTTCCACAAAAACTTATTTGTTACTATCTATATGCCAGGAAACCATAATTTCTGCCTTTACAAATCTGTCTAGCATATGAAAAGGTGTTTTGCTATAAAAATCTGTGATTATCATGTGTTAAATGGGCACCACACTTCAAGCAGAAATAATATTTTTATATAGTGATACAATTTCCAGAGTGTACACACACATACATATATGCATGGAAAGAGAAAGAGAGATAATGGTAATATTCAGTATATTTACCAACTTCTATAGCACACGTTCCAACAAACCAAAATGCAAACGGAATAGACTGATTTGGGAAAAAAACTGCAGAGTACAGAATCTCAGCCATTATGTCCACTTGCAAGCATGGTTTAGCAAGCTCCCGCTGATCCAAAGACAGATGGGACCTTTTCCCCATCTTCCCATTGTAATATGAGAACTTAAAATAGGTTATAATATTGGAAATTAGAAATTGATCATTAATACATATTTATTACACCATACTATGTGTCAAAACTTTGCCTGGTATTCAGTTGAAACAAGCCAAGTTTCAGCTTACTAAGGAATAAATATAAAACAAACAATAAGCAGGGAGTACAATGAGAAAATATTGATTGTGGTAGAAGCAAGGCTGAGGAGGATGTTGTAGAAAGAGATTGGGGAAAAGGGCATCATTATTAGAGCAAGAACTTGCAAGCGGTAGAAGGTTTGAGGTCAAAGGGAAAGTGAAAACAAGGAAGAATGACTATGGTGAAGGAGGAAAGAAAATAAGGATGGATAAGAAATGTAAATCAATTTAAAGTTGTGGGAGAAGTATAATAAGTCCTAAACTTATCACAAGAATTTGGAAAGAAAGAAAGAGGATCATCCAGAATGAAAAGAATAGATGAACTTTAGGAAGAAGTTATAAAGGAAAATTTTTCATGACTGTAACAACTATTTCCTCTGTGAAGTAGGGAAAGTGATCTGCTAAAAATAGAGTGAAGCATTAAGTACAAAGCTGAAAAAGTGGCAAAAAAAATTAAAAAGAAAATGTCATGGGAAATAGGTAAACATCTGTAAAGATTTCCTAGAAAAAATTGAGAGTCTAGCAGAGGTCAGAAATCATAAATGTATAAGGCAGACAATCAACATGGTTATGTAATTTGCTCCAGGATTATTCAGTTCCTGGTTTCAGTATCAGAACAAACAGATGGTTGGGTTATTCTAGAACTGAGGATTAGGAATAATGCAATGAGAAGAAGGTCATGAGAGTGTTGGGAATTAAGAGTGTCAGTGAGAGAGAGGTTTAACTGAATGACTGTGGGTTGTCAGCTGGAGTGAATAAGGAAATGAAGCCAAAGAAGGCGTATTGATCAAGAACATATGGAACTGACAAATTACAGAAGAATCAATGAGAGTGAAGAGCAGTTACTCCCTTGAATAAAATCTCTCAGGGTATTCTGCAGCCTAGATGATAAAGTACAGTTTACTTCTTAAAACATACAAGACTTTTAATAATCTTGCCTGCCTCTCACGCTCATTTCTAATTCCTTCTCCCTAATGCCTCCAGGCATTCTGTTTGTCCTGGCAGGCAGGCCAAATATGATGCTTTCTGTCTTCATGTTACTGCTGTTCTTTCAAAGAGCTCCTCTTCTCCTAAACTTCATCTCCTCTATTCACTAATAAACTTCTCAGTCTTCAAAATCCACTCAAGAATCTCTTTCTTATTGAAATTACCTGTAGTAATTAGTCTCGAAAAAGTGGTTGCCAAAATTTCCTTCCACCCTTATACACTCTTGCCATTACTTTCACCAAAAAAACTCTTGATTCTCGGCAGACCAACATAATGATGCAGAACTGACACTATTCCAGTTCCAACCTAACCCAACTGCCATGCTGCAAAGAAGTTCAGGTTATCCGGCCTGAAGTATGAGACACCATGGAGAGAGAAAATCATAGACAGAGAGATGGCATATAGCACCAGTACCTCCGACATATGAGTGATGTCTTCTTTGCCATTCCTGCTCATCCCAGCCACCAGTTGAATGGAGGAGGAGCCCAATCAACCCATAGAATTCTGAAAAATAAGAAATCATTTCCCTTTTAAGCCACTATGTTTTGGGGTTTAGTTATTCATTTATAAATAAATAGTATCTCTCTCATTTTCAACCTATATGCAACTGTTCAAACTTTCTACTGTATCACACTACCGTACCTATAATATATCTGTATTATTTTACCTATCACATTAGTATTGCAAAATTGTTTTTAAACATCTGCTCCCTTCCTATTCTGTGAGATGAAACAATGTTTCAGTGCTAGGGTATGTTTACAGTACATGTGTGTGTATATGGATGTGTTGTGAGTGTCTGTGTTCTAAGCCCTAGCACATAACATATGACGTGTATTTAGTAATTGACTTGAACTACATTAAATATGGATTGAGTTAGTGAAAGGGAGAAAGAGAGAGCTATGAGGTCTGGTCATTAGAATTTCACGGTTAAGTATTCCATAAAAGGAGCAGTTCCCTGATTGGAAGTGAAGTTGGCTTAAGGGTAGTCTAGGAATTCAGGTGGGGAGGTAGAATCATCAAGGATGTGGATTTATGACCTAGTACAATTACAGAATTTGTGTGGAATGGAATATGGTGATCCAGTGGGAAGAGACTGTGAACTTCAGAAAAAGAGGCTGTGAGTGACAGCTTTCCAGAGAAGAAAAAGGCTCTTAAAGTAATAGTAAACCATTAAGAATATGCTGGTTTAACGTTCTGCCCAATGTATGCTCAAGGGAGAAGTAAGTCTCCATTTAACAGACTTTTGTGGAAGTTGTACCTTCATTAAAAGAAGTTTTCCTCTAACTCATCTGAGTACACCTTTTCAGTCTCCTCTGTTGACCCCTTGTGTTCCACTGTCGCTGAAAGCTTTCTACACAGTCCTCTGCCATTTTCACTTAACATTTGTTCTTTGGGCCATGTGAGTCACCTCCCATGGCTTCGACCATTACTTATTCACTGGTGTCTCCTACAGCTGAACTCTCTGATTCCATTTCTTTTATGAGCCCTCAGCACTATTATTTATAATTCTTTTCTGAATATCTCCAGTGTTTGGTCTACCACTTATGTCAAATTCAAGATATTAAGGGACAAACTGATTATTTGCTATTCAAAATATGTTTTTTCATCCTGTATTTCATAGTCCAGTAAATGGCATCCCTGGCCACTCCATGAGTATAGAAAGAAAGAGTCAGCACAGTGGTTAAAAGCTTGGATTCTGGAATTAATCCAAGAGAATATGCTCACATCTGGCCTTCATAAATTACTAACTGTATAGTAATTCTAGTCTGCTCAGGCTGCTGTAACAAAGTACCAGAACCTGAGTCACTTAAAACAGACCTTGATGTCTCTCAGTTCTGGAGGCTAAGAAGTCCAAGATCAGAGTTCCACCATGCTCAGTTTCTGGTGAGGGCCTTCTCTGTGGCTTGCAGACAGCTGCCTTTTTGCTGTGTTCTTACACAGAGCTACTTCTCTGGTCTCTTTTTATAAGGGTACTAATGTCATCATGAGCACCTTTATGACCTTATCTAAACCTATTTACCTCCCAAAGGTTCCACCTCAAAATGTCATTACATTGAGAGTTAGGGTTTCAACATGTGAATTTTGGGGGCACAAAATTCAGTCCACAGAAACAACCTTGGCAAATTACTTTTCAGAGATTCATTTTTCTCACCCATCTTCAAAAGCCTGTGAAGAGTAATAAATGCTTATCCAAACCCTCAAAACTAATCATACCAACTAGATCTCTTGAAGCCATTCTTAACTTCTCCCTTTCCCTTAGTACCCACCTCTTCCAAGCAACTGACTGCCAAATTCCTTCTAACATTCAAAAATTCTCCATTTCTAAAGTGTATTTTAATATATGCATTTGTCCATCATCACTTCCACTGTGCTAGCGCAGGCCTGAACGTATTTCAACCAGCCTATTCCTGACCTCGTCTAACCCATCTTTTACACCATTGCCAGACATAATGTTTTAAAAAATATAAACCTGATCATAACCTTTTTCTTCATTTTCAAATTTTTTTTCAGTAGCTCCCTATTTCCTACAAAAGTCACACCAAACTCTTTAACATCTGATATATGCGGTCTTTCTCCGAACTACCTTTCCAGGGCCATTCTACATAATTTCCCACCATTCCCTGTATTTCCCAGTCATTCTCTGAACATACTCTTCTGCCTTCATGTCTATTTCCTTTCCTAAATCCTCAGCCCCTACTTTTCCCACTGAGAATTCCTGCTCAAACTCCCAGACCCAGCTCAAATGTGATTTCCTTTCTCCTGTCTTCCCAAAAGCCCCAAGTGACATAGATTGCTCCTTCATCCGTTTTCCCACAGGGATGTAGGCAAATATGTCTAGACTTTATCGCACTATAGTATAGTCATTAATATACTTGTCTATCTTCCCAGATAGACTCTGAGCTCCTTCTCAGAAGCAAGAATAGGAAAATATTTATTTTTGCATTAAAAGTCCATAGCATCGTTCCTGGAAAACACTAGTTAGCATATGTAAGATGCTGGATAAATGTTGGTTGAAAGAATGAATAAACTATGTAACGTCAATGGTGCCTGCTATATATTAACATATTAATTAAGTTCAGATTTTTCAGGTACATATAAAAAGTAAATTATGAAAACTGGGCATTGAAAGAAGTAGATTATCTATAAGTATTTTTCCCAATTTTAAAATTCTATAATCTTATTGTGAACTGAGCTAAAGCTCTTCTCCAGGCATATAGGATTAAAGTCTTGTCTGAGATAGACTTAAATTTGTAGATAGGATCTAGTGGGTTGTTTAAGGTATATTTACAATTTATTCTATTAATAAACCGCATTTTATGAATTTTATACTTTTCAATTAAATAAAATTGAATTATATGCAATCATAGATCTTTTAAAATGGTAACATGGTGAAAAAAGTGTTTTGTTTTGTTTTTTTCTGAAACCTTGTCAGCTTGAGTGACATGTGAGTACCCAGCACTAAGCATCTGTTAGGGAAATCTTATTACTCTGTGTCTATCACTAGAAAATTGGAACAAACGTTGCAAGACCTACACACTTAAAATGTTATGATGTGTTTTTAAAACTGCTTTCCACAGAAAGCCTTTTATTTTATTAGAAAATTATAAGCAAACAACGCTTGTTTAATGGCTTTCAAAGTATAAGCACATTTTGTGTCAAAATTGTATCACTTTCAACTGCTGACTTGTGTGACAAAGCTGTCAGGCCCTGGTGCCCAAGAAGATAGGGCACCACGGCAGAAATTTCTTACTGAACAATATATAATGTATGCTCAATTAAACCAACACAGTGTATGTAATGGTCTAATTCTATCTTAGAATGTACTGCTAGCTTTCTGTTCTGGAATCAGAATTTTCCTAATGCCTGGATGTTTTGTTGAATTCCCATGTAAGAAGTGATACAATCTTTGAGTTTATATCTCAGGGAAGGTTGGGCTCTTTTTTCTTTCTCCTTTTAACATTCAAAAATTCTCAAAAATATTACCTTCTTAATCTGATAATCTATGTATACTCTGCTCCCTTTCCAAACCTCTCTTAGCTTATTAAATATCTTAACAACTAAAGAAAATATGCATGAAATGCTAAAATTACAGCCAGTTTTTCAGAGAAATCAATTGTTGGTTATAGTGTTATTTTTCTCGAGAAACATTCCCAAGTCATTTATCTCTTCAAATATCAAAAATATCTATATGTGCTTCAAATGAATGCGATGATAATAAAATATAATGGAAAAATCCTGGAAAATTCCAACGTTCCTTATATTGTTTGTTAATTGACAAGTTTATAACAACTTTGCTGCTCTAAGCCAGCAGAGATTACCCACAGAGGTGGTAGATGCTAACTTTTCCACAAAATATGGCAATAAATAGATAACATTTAAAATATATATTTTCCTATATATCCTAAGAAAATATGCTGCTAAACATGAATTCCCCATGATAGAAGGATATTGTATGTTACTAAACTGCCATCTACTGGATTTGTTCACCCAGTACACAAAATCATCTATAAACTTGTATTTTTCAAGGAATACGTGACTTTTTTTTCAGCCATTTCCTGACTTTCTTTATTTTCCTACTTCTAGCAATGAGTGCTACTAATGACCAGGAAAAAAAAAAATGTTTCAGCTAATTATAGTCCAACCAAAGTTATTCACATAATTTAAGACTTAGATTGATTAATCATAGTGTCATGAAGACGTGTCAATTTGAGACACGAAGAGGTTTAGAGAGGTTTACACTTTCCAGAGTGCCACCTGTCTCCAAAGGGCACATTCATTAAGAAGCTCCAGGTGCAAGTTGTGGAAGCAACACAGCATAATGAAGTCCTTTGCCTCCTTGCGCACCTTTTGATTAATAACATCCTCCTTCAGTTCTAGCAGATTGTACACCAGTGTATGCCACAAGAAACCTAAAATACAAGCCTACTTTTCTGTCTTTCTTTGAATAGAGTAAATCACCATGTATCTATGATCAGAATCAAAAGAATTAACAAAATAAGGTATTTGTGGCACAATCTACTTTTATAAGGAAAAACAGCTAATAAGATGACTGATAATATTTATTTGATAACAATGTTTAATATGTGTCACTGATCAAATTCCACCTAATCTATCTTCTCTGTTCTATGCTCACACATGGAAATGCAACTGATATTTGTCCAGGCATGGTGGCTCACCCCTGTAAGCCCAGCACTTTGGGAGGCCAAGGCAGGTGGATCACCTGAGGTCAGGAGTTCAAGACCAGCTTGGCTAACATGGCAAAACTCTGTTTCTACTAAAATTACAAAAACTTAGCCAGGCATGGTGGTATGCACCTGTAATCCCAACTACTCGGGAGGCTGGGGCAGAAGAAATCCTTGAACCTGGGAGGCAGGGGTTGTTGTGAGTCAAGATCATGCCATTGCTCTCCAGCTTGGGCAATAAGAGCAAAATTCCATATCAAAAAAAAGAAAAGATGGGGAAAATGGCATTTATTAAATACTATTTACTAGACATTTTCTTTA